TTAATAGCGCAAAACGTCCCTACGTTTGACACTTATTGTGGAAAACGTCCCTACGTTCCATTTTTTTGCATTTTCGCCCTTATTTTAACGTTTTCTTGTGCAAAACGTCCTTTCGTCCATCTGTCGTGAATTTGACCGTGAATGCACACCTGGCTCACTTTTAATTTCAAGGCTGAAGGGTCAAATTGTCACACTCCAAGATACTCTTCTTCCCGCCATAAGTAAATAGGTTATTCAAAAAAAAAAATGATATCCACAGTGCTGAATTCTACTGTTCATCATCAGCGTGGCGGTGCATTTTCAAAAATTAAGCCTTTTGAAAATCCTGTATTCATCAAACTTCAAATAAAAAAAAAAGTTCAGAATAATCTGAACAAAAAAAGGCTTAACAACACAATAAAAGGCTTAATAAAGATCTCCATTGACATAGCATTCATACATAAACAAAAGAAAGTTACAGTTCAACACAGATGCTTCAACAGAAACCACAAAAAATGCCCGCTGGCCCCTAGTTGCTTGCTGGTGGTAGTGCCCCTTTGTAGCTCCTCCTGTTGTGCCCTGGTTCACCACATTTTCAACATATCTGAATTTGGCCAGCTCACTTCTTTGCACCAGATATACCTGTTGAAGTTGTCTCAGAAGGGGTTTCATTTTGCGCGGACTTTCTGGACTTCTTTGCCTGGCTAGAAGACTTCACCTCATTTGGCTCTTTTCTTCTATTCTTTTTTGGCCTCCCGGCCTTCTTGGTGTACGCAGGTGGTCTGAGCGGGTTGAGACCTGGACAAGGCCATGAGTCTGGTCCTGTGATAGGGAAAATTGAAGGCGTATATGTGATCAAGTAACAGTCTTTTTTGTAGATAGAGTGTACATAATCAACAACATTAAGGCCTTTTTGACACCAACGAGGCAATCGCATGGCAACAAGGTATTCTCGATAACTGTCACCCACGACATGTACAAGTCATTGCCCTCAAGTCAACAGCATGTTGTACAATGCCTGCATTGTGCCGAACTTGGAATTTCTCATTTCTCGCATATTCGGACCACTCAAACCTCGACAGATTACTGTTCTTTTCGAGAATCTTTTGGATTCTAGGCCCCACTGCTGATGTCCATCTATCAGCTGAATCTCTACGGGCTACAATTCTCTTCATCAAGTATTCCCTAATCTCCTCAAGCATCGTTAGAATGGGCTTCTCTCTTGCATTGACAATTGTACTGTTGAATGATTCACACAAATAGTTCAGAAGCAAGTCACACTGAGTCCACTCTCTGAAGTGGGATTTGCTCCAATGGGATGCCGGTTTTGGTTCAAGCCACCCATATGCAGTCGGGTCCAGGTCCAACATCTTTTACATATGTTGAAGCCACTGTGGAACAGTAGTAGCTCTAGCTGCATCCCAAAGGCAATTCTTCAAAGCCAATCCCTTATGCGTTGTACTGAAATTATTGTACAAATGTCTAACACATGTTCTGTGCTCCGCGTCCTCAAACAAAGACTCAATCGCATTAACCAACCCCTTCTACATACAATTGCAATGAGGCGACAACATAAATCTGCACTACTGGATGCCCTACCTCTCTCGCTAAGCATTTCCTTTATATCATTCTCACTCTCCAATCTAATCAACCCCTTCCCTAAACTCATTTTTGGTTTTTTGTAGTAAAACCCCAACATCCCATCATTGCTAACCGAAGCCAAAAACTTCATCAAGTTAGTTTTCATAAACATTGGAGCATGGAAGAAGTCGAAGAAAATCACAAATCCATGTTCATAAGCCAGATTGTTTGGCTTATCGTAGAAGCAGCCTCCGTGATGCAATTCAATAGTGAAGTAGCCTGAATTTGTACCTGTATGCAAAACAATATGGAGATGAGGGAATGGAGAGTGAAATATGGTATGGAAATGAACATATACACACTGATCGAATTAGGGCAAGAAGTGAGTACACAGCATACAATGCTGAACTCCTAGCCAAAACCACAACAAATTTAGCTCCCAACCAATACCGTGTAGTCCCTGATTAATACCTAAAAACCCCCCAAAAATTTCATCATACTGTATTTGGGAATGGCGTTGTCGGGTCCTCTGATAAATGGACGAGGTATTTTGCTTCATCAAAAATTCCTGCGAGAAATTTCATAAAAAAAAGCACCCAAGCCTCGATCACTCAATCTTTGAAATTTAGGAGAGTAACGTCGAACATAACGGGTTAATGGCGAAATAATACCTCTCTCCGTTCGCTTCCGTTTTCTGCAGAGGACTACATCCAGACTAGGGGAAATCGTCGTTGACACGAGAAGGGGAAGAAGAAAATGGGCACGCACGAGAAGGGACGTGAAGAGTTTTTGACGAGAAGATGAACTGTATGTTATGGGGAAGAAGAGTATCTTGGAGTGTGACAATTTTACCCTTCATCCTTGAAATTAAAAGTGAGCCAGGTGTACATTTCACTGTCAAATTCACGGTAGATGGACGGAAGGACGTTTTGCGCAATGAAACATTGAAATAAGGGCGAAAATGCAAAAAAAATGGAACGTAGGGACGTTTTCCACAATAGGTGTCAAACGTAGGGACGTTTTGCGCTATTAAGCCTTGTTCTACGAGGTGGAATATCAAACTTAGGGCAAGCATATCCCATGAATCTTCTAAACTCGACACCACCAACAAAGCTAAATGACAATTTATCCACAATAATCATTTTCACCATTGCTCTCCTACATGCTTCTTTGTTAAACACCACAGTAGTAATATTGGCAATGCCACCCTCACCACCATCATTGTCATTTGACTGTCTTGCTAGTACCTTTTGTCTTTCATCCATTTTGACACTTTTATAAGATTGGCAATTTTTAAAGTGTTTCCACAAGCCAGAAGTACCAGTCTTACTGGAATCACAAGCATAAGACTTTCCGCAGTGATTACATTTGGCCTTTATCCCCCTTGTATCTTTGTAAAATGTGACCATACTTCAGATCTCATATTCGGATTTTTTTTTTTATCTTCATCCATCTCGATATTTATCTACAAACAATATACAAATAACATGAAATTGTAATAAATTTAACTGGACTAAATTTAAAAGCAATTCTTAAAATTTATTAAATGAAAATCTCCAAAAATTTATAAATAAAACGGGTACAGATTGCAAATCAACTAATAATGAGGTATTATGAAAAAAATACAAAAGTATCGGATTATCTTCAATAATCTTCAACTAATGAAGGCCAGTCGACTTCGGAGAAACAAGAAAATTGATTTCTTTCTAAAGATTGTGTGGCAGATTTTTTAATCTGTAGTTTACGTCTTAGAATTTTGAAATGAAATTATATTGCATAAATACGTATAGATTTACCCAATATTTTAAATTTTAAATTTGGCTTGAGTAGGCAATAATCAATTAATCAAAGAAGATAGAAGGAAAGAATCAAAGAAAAGATGGAAATTGAAGCTTAAATTGAAGACGGAAAAGGAAAAAAATTTGATGGGAACCGTCGGTTCCCATACTAGAACCGGGAACGGACCAGAATTGATCGGTTCTCGATAATATGTCCCAAAACTAAATTATTTTTTAGAAGATCCGTTCTAACTGGTTCCGGTTCGGTTCCACCGGTTCCAAGAAAAAATGCCAACCCCTACTAACAACCAAGTTTTCTTCTCCAATAAACACAAATCACAGACAAAAAACGGTTAGGGCTAGACAACCATATATATAGATATAGGTTAGACTTTAGTCCGACAAAGAGAAAGGTTAAATGAGCCAAGACTCAAGAGCCATCCAATAGGTGAATGCATGGGCCGTGAGCAAGATTAATTCCAAAAGCTACTTTCACCGGTCCATTTTTTTTAAGTAAAGTCTTTAGACTTCGTTGTTGATAATCAATTTCACCATTGACCAAGCCTATGAAAATTTAATCCAACATTTTACATCAATGCTCGAGATTTATTGAGCATCAAAACCCAACAAAAATGAGTGGGGGAATGTTGGTGCATTTTAATACTTTAATCATTCATTGCACTTTCATTGAATAGGTTTTGAATGTTTGAAAAATGAAAGGTGAAAATGTGGAAGTTGAATATGTATGGTCGTGTATCCTTTGTGTGTTTTATGACACCTTTTTATTTTGGATAGCATATTTTCACCTATCAATAGACCATATTTGATCATTCATCCACCACAAAGATCATAATTCTATCATATTCTCTTACATTCTCACTCATTTTTCATTGAGAGCTTATTGAGCAAAGAAGTGTGTATTTTTAACGTTTTATTAATTATAAAGTATTATCCTTAATCATGATTTTTATTCAAAAATATTATTAACGTGTTTTAAAATGAGGGTCAAGTATTTAATTGTTTTTTTGTATTATTATTTATTTTTGATTATTTAAAATACAATGGACAAATGAAATGAGTCTCTTGCCTCCATCTTAGAAAGAAAAATTGAAAAAAACCATAATTAGGAAAAAATTATGTTAATTTTATAATAAGAATGCAATGGAAAAATTTGAGACATAACCGTTTCAAGGTGTAAAAGTTATAAACATTGGGGTGAATATATTTAGGATTTAGCCGTCTCCAAATCCAATAAAACAAACAATATTAACGGTAGAAACATCTAATTCGATGTAATGACAAAAATACCCTTGTTCTTTGACAATAACCAGGCACGTGGATACCGTATTGCGGATTCAACGCCTTAACTGTCCGTGGGCCCTACTCAAAAGTGGTGGCACCATCGTGATTAAATTAAAACGCTATGGGCATAAAAAGTTGAACATTTTCTCAAAAGACAAATCGATCCCTAAAGCACATTCCAACTTTTTGCAACCTTATATTTCCTCACAACACACTACAAAATCAACAGTAGAGTTTCAGTACACAAACGCCTAATTAAACTGTCGGCAGAGCTCCAGTTCTACTTCTCTGTCTCGGTTCATCAGCCGCCGTGAAAAGTGGTGGTTGATCGGTGGCACTGATCTACATTCTACTTAAATTATGGAGGGTCGCCGCCATATAGTTCATTTCTTGGTGTCTGTCATGCTAGTGTTGTCTCATTGCTTGGTGGCCGCCGCCGGGCCTCTCCGGCGAGTTGCTGACTCACATTGGTATCCCGCCACCGCCACTTGGTACGGTAGCCCCGAAGGCGACGGCAGCGACGGTATATATGCCCCCACCATGCTCCATTTATAATTTTATTTATTGTGCTGTCTAATCACATTCAACTATTCTTATCTTGTTGAAGGTGGGGCGTGTGGATACGGATCACTGGTGGATGTGAAGCCATTCCGGGCTCGAGTTGGGGCGGTGAGCCCAGTATTATTCAAAAATGGGGAAGGGTGCGGGGCGTGCTATAAAGTGAGGTGCTTGGACAAATCGATATGCTCTCGAAGGGCCGTGACAGTTATAATTACTGACGAGTGCCCTGGTGGTTACTGCTCGAATGGCCGCACCCACTTTGACCTTAGTGGTGCCGCTTTCGGCCGGATGGCTATCGCCGGCGCTGGTGGCGGGTTGCGCAACCGCGGCGAAATTTCCGTTATCTACCGACGGTAAGTTGTACTAGACTAAACTATATTGTCCTGTTCTATTCTTTACTGGTGTAACGGTCTTGTTCTGTTTAGTCATTTTGAGATTAATTTGGTCAAAATCTTATGATATCTCAACTGACAAGTGAGCTCAGATATTAAAAATTCTGTGGCCACGTATTAGGAGAAAAATGTTAGATGTAAATGATTTTTTTTTTTTTTTCCAATTATAAAATACAAAATAATAATTAATTTAGGGGGCAAATTTTATTAATTTTGATGTAAATTTGCAGGACTCCATGCAAGTATCCTGGAAAAAACATTGCCTTTCATGTCAATGAAGGATCAACCGATTATTGGCTCTCACTTTTAGTGGAATTTGAAGATGGAGATGGTGATGTTGGGTCGATGCAGATAAGACAGGTAATTAAATACATCTCTACATAATTTTCATGAATAAGTGATTATGAGACTTGAACAGAAGATATTCTTTTGACGTGATTCCTAATCAAAGAAGCATCAGGTACCCTGCGACTATAAAACTTGGTCTAAAGAAACTCAATTACTTACTTTAATATAGATCCCGACTGATTTTTTTTTTTAATACGAGTCTTTGTTAATTCTGTCTAGTCGAGCATACCAAATGTGTCCACCAAAAAAGGTTAGTTCTATCGAGTCATGCATATCAAACGTGCCCACGTATTTTAATTTCTCCAGTGAGCAATGTGCTCCAAAAAACACCTCCCACAATTGTAATGGGATTTCTACTTCTAGTAAGTACCATCCCCCCATTAACTTTATCTGTGCTTAAGTTTTTGTCTGCCTCTATTTATAATTATTCTCGGACGGCAATAATCACGTAACAAAATTATAATCGTGCAGACAAATTCGAACGAATGGCTCGAGATGACACATTTATGGGGTGCAAATTGGTGCATTATTGGGGGACCCTTAAGAGGACCATTTTCTGTAAAGTTAACAACACTATCAACGGGAAGAAGCCTATCTGCAAGGGATATTATTCCCAGCAATTGGTCTCCAAAAGCCACTTACACTTCCCGCCTCAACTTCTACTAGACCGTGCTCGTCGATCGAATTCCGGGACAACCTAAAGATACAATGAAATGTTTGTCGACTCGCTTTCGCGCAGAAAAAGGCATCAAATGATGTGTCCTTTTGTTAGTTGGGGACCTTTTTTTGTGCTTTCTGTAGTGTGTGAGTCAGTAAGTGGATGTGAGAGTTAATTATGAATTAAATGTTATGTAAAGTCATTGTGTTATGTAGCCCTCTCCAAAGGGGGAGAGTGCGATTTTTTAAGTGTGGCATGTTATTTAATGTAATGTTGGGTAGGTTAGGTTTTTGTGGGTTCTTTTGTTTGGACCAAACATATATGGTTGTAATGTTGTTTGCTCGTTTTTAATAAGGTTTTCCTATCATTCCTTATATATTTGTTCGTTTAGGTTTACTATTCTTGTAATAGTTTGATCGTGTAATCAGGGTCAAAGCCAGCAACCGGCGAGCTTTGCAGCCGCCCGTGTTGGCTTAGTCGAAAAAAAAAAATTACTTATATTGGATGGCCACTCAACAATCACTTGAGCAACACCCGTGTTCACCTAGATTCCTGGATCCATTATTGCGTGTAATTATAATAAATTCTTTTTTACTATATCGGTGTACAAACTAGTCTTGATCTTGCCACTTTTGCATGTGGCTAGATTTCATGTGTATGTTTTATTAATTTTGGCAAAATTCGAGTTTGGATTCCATTTTAAAGAGAATAAAGCAAAATATAAGCAAAGAGAATTCAAAAGCTCATAAAAGAGATGATTCAAGTACAGCAAATCAAGACTTTTGACAGAGTAGGTAGTCCATCTAACTTCTTTTAAAAGAAGTAATGCAGACTTTCAAAGTCTTCCTAAGAGCTTTGAAGGAATTTGTGTGGCACAAACATGTCATAAACAATGAAATTGTCACAAATTTGACAGGCCTCAACAGCCTCCTTGACGTATAGGGCGTTCCGGTTGTCCCGATCAGTGAATGCTACCTGCAAAATGAGGTCGGAGCTTTCTCCCCCATTGTACCTCCAGCATAAGAATCAATAGTTGGTTTAGGAAAGTAGGATGATAGTATAATTGGAATTCAAACAGTTCGGGTTCAAGAGAGCCATACCTTTCTCACCTTAGGGGTATTTATAGGCACCAGATACAACGCACTTGTTCAGCGGTTAATGGTGCTATGTGTCCCACGTAAATCTTCTCACTTCCCCCACATTCTGATAGGACAAGCCCCACTCCTGAAACGGTTGGTTGTGTCCACATTTTCCGTTGAGCGGTTTCCGTCCAGCTCATTGCCATTTGTATGGTTAAGTGTAGCATTGACCTCATAGTGGTAGACATCCTATGTAAACGTAGAGGACCTCATGGTAGTAGGCGGCCTCATAGGGGTTGAGGCCTCATGGTGGTTGGCGACTTTATAGTGGTAGACAGCTTATGTGAACTTGGAGGGCCTTATAGTAGTAGACAGCTTATAGGGGTAGACAGTCTATCAAATGGTGCTCTACGTGGAGAGCATATCAACTAGTCCTTACCTCATTAGCCATCGTGGATAATTATTAATGTCATCCTGTATCTCTTGTCGATGTTTATCGACAAAGGGTAGCATCATCACTTCTTCCGTATTGGTTAAAGTTTTTTTTATTGACATTTAATATATGTATGTCGATTAGCCCACTTAACATATCGTGATGAAACACTGCACAAGTGGCGCTCCATGACTGGGCTTGGTTTTGGGGAGAAAAAAATTCAAAATAACTCTCTATTTAAGTAGGTGAAAATCTCATTTTGCTTCCCACTTTCCCATTTGCCAAAGTTTTATCTTCTCTACTATTCCTCAAGGTAGTTCCCTCTTCAATCTTCTTTCTTCATAGTGTTTTAATTTTTGTTTCTTTTTCCATTTATTATGTATAAAATAGTCATTACCTCCTCATCTGACAAAAGCACGAGCGAGGGGCAAGTCAATCGACCGACCCATCCTTAGATGGGTCGGTCGACGTTTTCCAACCAACCAGCAAATCGACCAGCCCCTTAACTTGTCGACCGTCGATCGCCTCATGGCTGCTCGCGAGGCTGGCCGTCCTTCGACCAACCCCGTCGGGTCTCCTCTTCGAGTCAGTAGACTCCTCCATGAGCCTGATATTTCGACACATTTGGCCGAACCTCACACTTTTCAACCAAGTCTCCCAAAAAATATATTGGCTCAACCAAATTTTTGAACCAAAATCATGAAATCTAACAGGATCCGGCGGGTGAGTTGGTAGTTCTTGAGATTCTAAAGTGCTATAGTCTTTATAATTCCCCATCTAAATTGGAAAAGTCACTTAGAAAATATGAGCATGTAGACCACTATGTTTTTAGAGCCCCTAGGCCCAAAGAAAGGCTTCCCGGTTCCAACCTCTGCGAGGTCGCCGTGTATAAAGATATTACAGACGGTGGTTTTCGATTCCCCATCCATCATTTATTTGTCTCGTTATTTAATGAGTTTCACCACACTCTTAGCCAAATAAATCCCAAAGCATGGAGGAAATCACTATATTTCTTCTACATTTGCCGCAGCAAGAAAATTCCACTCTCAATGGACCTCTTCAGGTGTGTCTTCGAGATGCACGAGCTAGCCCAGTGTAACGCCTTCATCTTCTTTACTACTAGGGTCCCTTGTGTTTTCCCAAGTTTAGGAATTCCAACAATGGGTGGAAATCGCGGTTCTTCTTTATTCGACCCTCCGAGGGCCAATTCTCTTTCAATACCAATTGAAGACATTACTTAATTCGCCTCTTCAATAGTCAAGTTGAGATCACTCCTCTTCTAAAGGTGCAAATCCAACAACTGACTAAAATCCCACCAATTACACCCAACCTAGGGTCAGTTCTGACAATGAGGAATATGTTGATAGTGGGAATCGGTCCTACTGGTAGGTCCTTTTATCTTGCTTGTACTTTTACACTTGTAAATATCTTTGACTTGTCTTTATTTGTTGGCCTTGATTAACTCGATTGCTTGTACACAAATGGATTTTGATCTGGACGAGATGTTGAAGTCCTTGCCCGAGCCAGGGTGCGATGAAGGATTTATCCCTGCTGATGGTAAGTTGCGGCATATTTTTCTTTTAGTTTTACATTTGTACGCCTCTTGACTCGTTGTTTTGTGAGCTTGATAGACCCTCTCTTGTGTGTACAGGGATGGAATTCAATTTGGAGACCATGGACTCCTTGCTAGAGTGCGGATGCGAGAGCGATGATGACCTTCCATTCCATTGAAAATGAAGAAGACCAATGATGGAGCAGCACTGTGCCGTACCATCGAGGAGGTATCTCTACCTTTGGATGAACCTGTAGAAGCTATCGCACCACTCGAGACTGGGGACAACTCGAGTTACGCCTGCACGTGCCCAGGTGATCGCGGGGTGAAGTGCTAACGACATTGAGTGAGTTCTAGCGGTCTACATTCAGAGGGTAGACTTTCTGTCATCCTTCTTTTTTTTTGTTTGTTTATTCTTTTGTACATGCCCAATAGTTATTTGTCCTCTTGTCTTTTTTAGGTTGTGGCTCTTCAGGCCAGGCTTGTTGAGTTGAGCCATCGCTAGTCATCGGAGTTGAAGGTCTTTGCATAAGAAAAGAAGAAGAAATCTCACCACTACAAGAAGAAAGTCTCTCGAAGCTTCAGAGGCCCATGCTCGCGAGCAAGAAACGGAGATAGACAACCTGCACTCTATTCTGGATCGGGCTCCCGAGGAAGTGGGGAATAAATATAGAGCCTCCGCGGAGTATGCTAAGGATCTGGAGGCGTCTGTAGAGTAGTACAAGTCGTCATCTGATTTCTCTAAGGCCTTACATTCTTATGGGGGAAAATAGATGGTGGCGTCCATCAAATTGACCAAGGAATGGATATTTGCTGAGCACCCTGCTATCGATCCCTCAGGCTTTGATAGGTTTCTAGCATAACGTAAATGGAAGGAAGGCAGAGCCCCTCAATCCAAGAAGTTTGGGCGTACATCGCGAGGCAGGAGTGAAGGGACTTCGCATTCGAGTTGACGTGACCTTTTGTTGTAGGCCTTTTAGACTTTCTACTATTATTCATTTTCTATCATTCAATTGTTTAGTGTTTTCTCCTGGTCCGAGATGTGGACAGACAATCTTACTGCATTTTGAGTATGAATGTTTGCTTATTAAACATCATTATTGTTTTGCCTTTCTTTTTTTCCTTATATCTATCTTGTAGTATTGGTGTCGCTTGCCGATATGTGAGAGTTTATTTACCCATATTTGCACGACTCTTCCTATTTAATCGTAATATCTATCAGGCATGACATCCAGCGGGTAGTTGCCTGGTTACACAGGCGTAAGTCGAATGCCACGCGATTGACCCGCGTACATTGGCGCCAAGCTTGGTTGTAATTTTACCTTTCGCATTTCATTTTTCGATCTTTGACTGGTTTTATTGGTATTATTATCCTTTATCGAATAGCAGGATGCAAGGTCTAATGGTTTGGGGTCTCAACCAATTCATAGCTTTGAAGGCCCCAACCTCGACCGTAGAACTCAGTCGCGCTTGTTACAAATCTATCGATTTCATTGCTTTCGCCTAGTCCCTTGGGTTATGTCAAATGCGGAGCATGATTTCGGGCCTTAACAAAGTTTTAGTTTTTGAGGTTCTTTCTCAGACTTTAGAGTGATTTTGAGCTAACTGATCATTTTCGGTCTTTGTTGGTCATCGCTGTATGTCAAACGATCTTGGGTTGTTAACTAATTTCCTGGATTTGTTGATCACCGCTATGTGTTGAGTGATCTTCGAGGTAGTAAAGTATAGTGTCTAGTGATAATCGCCAGCCCTTAGAGCGATTTTGAGCTAACCAATTTCTTGGCTTTGTTGCTCACCGCTATGTGTTGACCGATCTTCAAGGCAGTAAAGTATAGGGTCTGGTGATAATCACCAGCCCTTAGAGCGATTATGATCTAACCAATTTCTTTTGTTGCTCACCGCTATGTGTTGACCGATCTTCGAGGCAGTAAAGTATAGGGTCTG